ATAAGAAATCTCCAGATATTTTAACTGTTATTTGTTGTAACAGAATGGAAGCAGTGATGGAATTTATATATTTTTTTACTACTGGTTCTGTGGGCCTGGCTTGTTGGCATGGTGTGGCTTGGTGGGCGTGGCAGGGGAAGGATACTGCAAAATCTCTATTCCCTCCCTACCCCACTAACCTGCTTACCAGCTCTGTTCTCCTGTGGAGGACAACAAAACCCAGCTGATCAGCTGAGGCTTGTGAAGCGTACGGGGGCGCGGCCAGCCAGAGGTGGTATTTGCCAGTTTTCCAAACTACTCAAAATTTCCACTACCAGTTCGCTAGAACTGATCAGAAGCAGCTGAATATCACCTCTGTATAGAAGCAATAATTGCAATCTTGTAAAAAAAAAAAATCATGGCTCCATCTATTCAATGGACCGAAGACCAGCTTGCATTTGTCAGTTATGAGCAGATTGTCTATCGATGTAGATTTTGTATAGACAAGTACAAGTAGCCCTTGAGTTATGACCACATTTGAGATCAGAATTCCTGTTACTATGCAAGACAGTTCAGTTTTTCTTATATTTCTTTTACTTTGTTTTAATTAAAGCACTTTTTATGTGCTCTTCTCCCCTCCCCCCCCCCCGGACAATGTATATGTTACCATAACTATTAGTTTTTTGTCTTTTGCCCCATTTCCTCTTTTCTTTTTAGCATTTAATGAAATGCAATAAAAATATTATTTAAAACTGCAGCCTTGTAGGTATCCTGCAACTGGTATTTACCCACCTTCCACATAGCATCCGCTGTTTTAGACTTACAAATAAAATGTTTAGAGAAAGCTGTGGCCGCCCTGAGGTTTTCTGATTATGTTAATGAATTTTAAAATATCGTTCTTATAAAAATGGCCAGTTGTAGCTTCAGAGGCACTACAGCATACAGAATGCTGGTCTCAGCCGAGCTCTAGCAGCTTCTGCAAGGATGATAAGTTCAATTCATTTCTTAGGAGTCTTAATTTTCCTGCAGCCCTTTCTTTGTACGTGGGATTATGAAGATGCCATTTATTGCCTTTGATGTTTGCAGATGACCAGAACAATGTGTGTCAAGGGAAATCAGGAGGCTCTTTGGAACAATACCCACCCTGCACCGCTCTATCTACTGTGTATGAAAATGACTGCAGCAATGTACATGCCTCGATATGCATTGCAGCCCTGGTCTTCGTTGTTGTGCTGTTTATCAAGCATGTGTAATTAGCTGAGTGACTTTTGCCTCCTATTACGAAGCATTGATTTCGCATAGTCATAAATAAAGAGATGAGGTTTTATCATCTTTAAAAGTACAAAAGCCAATCAGACTTTTTTTTAATGCCCCTAAAGCATCAGGGATTTCAGCAAGTTGATAAAGAGGTATCTATAGGTGCAGAGATGGCCAAATTAACCGTTTTAATAAAAGAAAAGAACGCATCCAATTTTGTTTTGGTTCTGCTTTTAGTTTTTGTGCTTGAAAAAGAAAACAGTGAAATTTTGACTTGGGGATTTGTTGATTAGATAAGCTTGTTGCTATAGAAATGTATAGCCTAAGTATGCAAAAGGAAAAAGTTGAGGCTGCAGTGTTAATAGCTTTATTATGCACTGAAAAGAGCTGGAGGTTAATGTATTTTTTTTTCTGTTTTTCCCTGTTCTGACCCAGGCTTCATTAAAAAGCAAGAAGCAGAGTCTTGGTCTTGGCAAAACCCTTTTTATTTACATGACTGTGAGTTCCTTTCATCCACAGTCANTATCTGGTGTGGGGAATAACTCACTTTTGTTGCCAGCAGTTTAGACATTAATGGCTGTGTGTTGCATTATTTTGAGGGGACAGCACTTTGACACTGTTATACAAGTTGTATACTCACTACTTTACATTGTAGCCAAGTGTCATTTCTTCAGTGTTGTTACATGAAAAGATACACTTACATATTTAAAAATTGTGAGTTGGTGTACTCACTTCTGTGATATACTGGACATTTGAATGGTAGAAAAAAAATACCAATGCTATGAAGTCAAATAACTCCAACACATAAAGAAGAGTATGGCAAACTGTTATTCCATATTGAGGCTGATTAAAAAAAATAGTTCATGGATGTACTAATGAAGTTAAACTCAATGCATACAAATCTTGATTAATGATTTCTTCATGATTTCTTCCTCTTATTTTTCATCATCAAAGGTTGCGTGCATTTCAAATTTGCTCCTGTATTTTGAAGTTTTAGGACATTATTGCTACTGTACTTTCTCATTCCCCTCCTGGTTGCATATTTACAAATCTGCAAATTGACTGAAGTATTCAGACAATTTAAGAGTTAACTACAAATTGCTAAGAGGAATAAACATTCACTTCAGTACCCATTATATTCCAAGCCAGCACATCTGTCATTTTAAATTTAATTCTGTATTACTTAACTGTCTAAAACTTTGCATTTAAGTGACAAGAGTTATTCCCCCCCCCTTTTTTTTTTTGCTTTTTGTTATGGGGAAAATCACATTTTTTTTGCCGCCTACACACTGGATAAAATGTCATAGTTCTGCTTAGCATTAAGAAGTTTGGAAAATAAATAACTCTTTTTTTGTTTATAAATCCTCCATTAAAGTGTAGACATAGTTTAAGAAAGAGAAAAAGGGGGGGAAAATTAATGTAACTTTGGTTCTACATCTAAATTTACATGATAATAAAGTGAAGTGAATTGTCAATGCTAAATCCGTTTGTTTTTATTAGAATAATAGCAGTAATAAATTCAAGCTCATTATCCTTTGGAACTAAAAGGGAGACGTAACAGGTAGCTCTCACTTAGCTATAATAATTGGGACCAGCAGTTCCGTTGCTAAGTGCCGCATACATAAAGTGCAGTATGATGTGATTGTGTCAACTTATGACAGCACCTGGGGCAATCCCAGTTCTCATAGGTTAGGTGAATCCTTTGCCATTGTAGCATCCTATGGTTGTGTGATTACCATTTGTGACCTCCAGCCAACTTCCCCATTGACTTTGCTTGTCAGAAGCTAGCAAGGAATATTGAAAATGGTGGCCACTGACTATGGGCTGATGCCACATTATTATTGTGAGCCAATTGCCAAGCATGCAAATCATGATCATGTGGCTATGGGGAAACTACAGTGGCTGCAACTGTGAGGACCCATTGTAAATATCCTTTGTTGAGCACGGTTGTGATTTTGAATCACCGCTGAATAAGTGATTGTTTAGTGAAGACTACCTATAGTGCAGGGGTATTAAATTCAAGGCCCATAACAGGGTGCTTAGATCTGGCCCATGGGGCCACCCTGGAAACAGTGAAGGACTGGTCCGCGGTGCCCCTGCCACCAAAAACAGGCTCCATAGCCCCGTTTTTGGCTGCAACGGCATCCTGCAACCCGTGTGTGGCCTTCCCGATATCGGTTTGCGGGAGGCCGTTGCAGCTGAAAATGGAGCTCTGCAGCCTATTTTAGCTGGCAGACCACTCGGACCACCACAGGCACCCCTCCGACACGAATGATGTTGAGCTGGCCACGCCCACCCCAAATACAACCCCGATGCAGACCTCAATGAAATCAAGTTTGATGCCGCTGCCATACTGCAATCTTCCTATATGCAGATGATGCTGTGTTGCAATTTTTAATACCATTTGGCCTAGGAAGGGCACTGTGCATGCAGTAGAGCTCAAGATTCATTACAGAAAAACATGCTGTTCATTTTTTGGTGAAACACACTAAAATTCATGCCTGGCAACTAAATAGGATGAGTATACCATCAAGTATTTCATACTACTGGAAAACATGGAAAGTTCGTGCTTGTTGGTTTTGATACTGTTAGAAGTGCCACATAGAACGAATTTAGAGTATAGATCTCTGTTGTGTCCTAGCAGGAGCCATTGGAGCTGCCACCAAACTCCGACAGCGAGGCTCTGGAGGATGTGGAGGACCCTGGACAGGGTTCCGACTCCGAGGAGGGCTCAGAAAGGCTGGTTGGCCACCAGGAGGCACCTGAGCCTTGGACCAGTGGGGAGGAGATAAGGGAGAGTGAGCCAGATGCCAGTAGTGAGTTGTTCCTGGATGCACACCATCAAAGAGCTAATAGGCGTCAGGAATAGTTGCCCAGTTACAAGAGGTAATTGCACTCAGCTGGTGGTCATTAGGCTCCTCTCCAGACTATAAAAAGACTCCTTGTGCACATGGCTCTCTTTGCAGAAGTCAATGCAGGATTGAATGTCGGAGGACATTACTGTGAGCTTGGCAGGCTTATCTGTGNATTTTTTTATTGCTATTTTTAATATATTGCAAGTCAGAAACTTTTTCAGAACTAAGCCAAATGATTCAGAAAAATCTGGTTGTAAATTTTTCTTTAACTTCTTCAAGAATGTAGGATGATTTCATGAGGAAATAATGTGTTTTCATATGTGAGGTGACTAAAGGGGCTTCAGAAGGAAGAATCAGGTTCTTCGGATCCAACCATATTTTCATAAGTTACTTCCGAACTAATATATTGGAAGAACTAATTCTATTTTGTTGACGATTGGCAATATACTTAAGATCACCAAGGTTCTTTGTAGAAGTTTAATCCCATCTTAATGTTTCCTGCCTCTCTCAGAGTTGTATAAAATTATAATTGATTTGTGGTTCCAAATTGCCTAATATTAATCAGCTTGAAATTGATCACAATCCTCTTTGTTAGTTAAAGAATGCAGCATTACAAATAAACTGTATGCACTTCTATTCCAGCCCTTAAATCCATGTGTCCAGTTTTAGAAAAGTAAAATTAAATGCTGCATTTCTCTAAAGAAACTCAGCAAATGACATCATAAATATCCGGTTAATCAGTATTTTACCTGCCATCTCGGGAAAAGTATAAATTACTTGCATATTTTTTTTTTACATGGCTCTGGCAACTATTAATATACGCACAGTAACTTGTAAAACATGTAGTTATTATTCTGCCTATATTAATTCTTTCATACTAATGATTTATTTTTCATTTTCTCCAGGCTATAGACCTGAAGTTAACTGGAATTGATTTATAAGTGAGGAATCCTTATTAAATGGATGCTCTCTTCAGCTTGCTACAGTGGAAAACTGAATTGTCAATCGAATGTAGCCTGATAAATAGGACTCTGAAGATGCTGTATCAGCAAGAATGAAATCACTGGAAGACACCATACAAAGAACCTTTTGGGTATTCTCAGACTTATTTGATTTTTGATTTTTTCCGGTTTCTGTGGGAGGGGAAAACCCTCCTTTCTGCCTTGCTGGATACAAATCTCTTTGTTTTAACCATAGATGTACAACTCATGTGGGACCATGGCTTTTCCAATATCTGTATGGCTGAACTGTGTATGGAGGGCAACACAAGCTCGCTTGTTGCACATGGGATTGGATGCCACATTTACCTTTTGCGTACTTGGGTTCTTGATTCACACGGCCGCCGTGTCATCCCAAAAGTTGGATGATATTGACCCTGTGGTGACCACCAATTTTGGGAAGCTGAGGGGGATGAAGAAGGAATTGAACAATGAGATTTTGGGGCCAGTGATCGAGTTTCTTGGAGTTCCTTACGCTGCCCCGCCTATTGGAGAACACCGGTTTCAACCACCTGAGCCGCCTTCTCCATGGCCAGACATCAAAAATGCAACCCAATTTGCACCAGTGTGTCCTCAAAACATCATTGAGGGCAGATTACCGGAAGTCATGCTTCCTGTTTGGTTTACGAACAACTTGGATATAGTTTCTACTTTCGTACAAGATCAGAATGAAGACTGCCTCTACTTGAATATATATGTCCCAACTGAAGATGGTGAGTTATTTACTTAAGGAGCAGGGGAAAACTTTTATTTACTTTTCTGTTTGATATTTCTTTAAACGATGAAACTATGTGTACTGGTAGCCAGCACGGCTTTTTCTGTCTGCATGCTAATTTCTTTCCCTCGTTTTTTTTTTTTTTAACCTGTGTGCATGTGGCTTTTCTATGTATGCATCGGTACTTAGCCAATGCTCTCCTTTTTCTTCTCTTAGCCTAGACTCCTTTTCAGCACGTTTATCCTTAGGTCAAAGTTGGTACCTAATTCTCATTCCCATTGACCCCTGGGAAAGATGCATCAACATCTCGATCCATTGCATGGATAGGCAAGGAAGGAGATTCTTCTGCGCTCAAACGATACATATAATAAGCAGCCCCATATCGAAGCTAATGGTATTGCATGCTCCTACCGTCTATCATTGGAGCTTCATGTTATTTTCTAGTCTTCTATTCATTTTTCAGTCAAAAGAATATCCAAGGAATGTGCCAGAAAACCCGGCAAGAAAATTTGTAGAAAAGGAGGTATGTATAAAAGTGGATAAAAAACGAATCCTGGGTTGGAAAAACAAAACAGAACAAAAACTAAATTGTTCAAAACCGTAGGGAGGAACCCCACCATCCTAAAAGAGAATTAGGCTGTTGATGGTGGTGGTACAGAAAGAAGAAATTGTCCGCGATTAATAGGGTTGGAAACCAGCGAAATAGGACAAATGTTTTAAAAACAAGAGAATGAAACAAAATTTCCTTTCCCCTTCTGAAGCATTAATGCACAGGGTATTGGAGAGTTGTTTGCATGTAATCATCCGATAAAGAAGTGGAGTTCAGTGGTAATGTGTGTTTTTCACATGTAGAGCCAGTGACTTAGTAGAGAGTTTAATGAGCTGAAGCTTTTATAGCCTTGATTCCCTTCAGTGCAACAGAGACTGATTTTTGTAGTTGTTGTATAAAATTACTCCCCCCCCCCTCCCCGGGTGTCTGATTAAAAGACTGAATGCTGTTTCCAAAGAGATAGAGTTATAGTGACTTTCTTCTGGCAGAAGGAAAAGTATGGGTTGCAAAGTAATTACTTTGTTTACCAGGTTTACTGTTTCATATCACTTGAACCGAAAGTGTACATAACGCTTCATATTGGATTTATATTTCTAGTAATACACAGTTTTGCATTGGCTATCACAGATGGAGATATAAGTGGACTATCCTCAATTGACAAATGTTTTCAGATTAGGGTGTTGGTGGGGTGTTTTTTTGAGGAGTTATAGTGAAGATTTTGAATTTGTTTTCCCTTGTATTTTCCATTTTGTTTAGTTTTTGCAGTCCTAACTGACTTCACTAAAACAAAATATTCTGGCAATCAGTTAGAAACCTGAGCATTCAATTCAAACTGTATGGCAACATCATGTTCTTCAGCTCTCACCAATGCAATCATACTTTTGACAAGGATCATTTGACGAGTCATTAACATAATTTACCTTTTTTGTGACTGCTTTCTTTCTTTGTTTTGCAAATCTATTCCGTGAAAATATATCTATGATGTCATTCAACTTTATTTCTCAAAATAATCGTTCTGGAAACACCCATAGCTTTTGCTATTTTACTTTTAATTTCCTGACTATTGAAAATGGAAACCCCGTCAACATTTGAGTTGAACTGAAAGAAAATTCATGCGTTTTCCATTTGTATTGATAAGGTTCGGGTGATTGTTTGGTTTATGAAGCTGGGAATAACTTTTGGGAAGAAAATACTCCTTCCTTAATTCTTCTTTATCATAAATTGCATCCAGCAAAAGAATCTTGGTTTATGTTAATCAGATTGCTTGTTTTGTAGTGGGTTAACCACCACTAAACTAAAGTTTGAAGTGGGACATAATGCTATCGAATATCACAATTAATTAATGGTTGCATACTATCCAAGGAAGATGAATACGTAAATTCACCACTTCATAAGCTTATAACATCTCAAATAATTTTCCAAATTGCTTCATTATTTATATGTTTGAAAATTGTGTCAGTAAATTTTACTTTATGCATAACATAGAGAAATTTGAGGCAGGGTAGAGAAGACCAATGTAGAATATAGTTACACAGTCATCACATTAAAAAAAAAACAATTATAACCATGTTAAATGCCGGTCAAGCACGATAATATGTTTTGTATTCTGTGACATTTGAAAGTGCTGTTCCTACATTAAGACCTAAAAGTGTTTGCTTGTTTACTAATTAAAATCAAATATTGTAACCATGATGTAAGATTAATATGATTACCTTTGAATTGTGCACTTAATTTCTCCTCCCAGAAAACAGAAGGGAAAAAATATTCCATATTTGTTTCAGAGACCCTTCCTGCCCGCTGCTTCAAAATTGTTCTTCTATTAAAAAAGATTTTTAAAAATGGATCTAGAAATGAGAATGGAGGGTGATTATTTCTCTCATTCTTTCTTGCTAAAGTTTCTAGACTTTATGTTAATTTGCACTTTCTTTTTTAACCAGTAGAGTCTATAGAGACCTATATCAGTTACAATATGCCATTAACCTATTAACTTGGATTATCTTATTTACTAGGTTTGTACAGTATATTGAATCATAAACTAACTAAACAGGCTGGGCTTTGCAATGAGCTAAGTGATTAAAAAAAACAAGCTGTGGTTAAAACTTTCGAAGAGATTAGCAGGTTTATCTAAATTCTGTGCAACATTTAGCAATTTAAACAATTGTGTAAACCAGCTGTTCGGCTATCCTTACCCTGGATTAATAATAGACACATCCTCTTGTTTCCAACTCTTCTTTAGAAGTCTGATTAGAATCCCTTGGACATTAATTCCCAGGAGGGTAGANTTCTCTGCCTCCCGTGTCCCAGCTGATCAGGAGGAAATGAGGATTTTGCAGTATCCTTCCCCCTGGAGTGGGGAGGGAATTGAGATTTTGCAGTAATCTTCCCCTGCCACACCCACCAAGCCACACCCACCAAGCCACACCACACCATGCCCACAAAGCCACGCCCACAGAACCAGTAGTAAAAAAAATTGAATCCTACCACTGAATGGCATGCATAAGTGCACCAGTGTACCTAGCATCCCTATCCCCATTTATTTGTACTCATTTCCTTTGTTCACGTCCATGTTTATACTTATACCTGTTATCTTGTACATGTTTGACAAACTAAATAAATAAATGTGCTGATCAACTTCCATTGCAATGTCCAGCTATAGGGAAATTATGTCAGGTTTCTTTTTGTGTACATTCCAGTGTGGAAATAAAACTGATCAAGGCTGGTCAATACACTATTCAGTTCATGGCTTACACAGTATTTCACACCTTTTTGTGCAATGCATGAAAGCTTGGTGATGCAGTATGAAGAGATTCTTCCAACAGATCTGTTGAAGTGAAAAATTGTCTAGGCCCAAAGTTTTGGAACGAAGTTGTTCAAGTGAAGATACAATACAATGCAAGCATAGAATACTGTAATATTATATTATACGGATTCAGAAATATAGATACAGCGACGGGATTTATTTTTTCTCAGCTTGTTAGAACTTCTATTCAACCTTTGTAAGTAATGGAAGGGAGATTCAGAAAGCGTATTTTTGCATAACATAAATGCTGTTATTATGTATAAAACATACAGCACTGGCATGGTTCACTTTAATATTAAAAAAAACTCTGAAGAAATGAATAGAGTACAAATAGTTCTTGAGTTACGACCATTTACTTAGAGACTATTTGAAGTTATGATGGACTCCCTAAAAAATGACCTTATTCTAAAGTTCTTTATCCTGTCTTGATAACCATCAATGGGAAGAAGTGGTAGCCAGCTGTCTTTGCCATTATAACTCTGCCAGTTTACAAAATTCCATTAAAATCTTACAATAGGAACAAACCAGTTATCGTACCTAGGACTCAATCACTCTAGAAATTTCATCTATTTATTTTAAAATACTTATACAGCTGCCCATTTTATAACAACAACCTTGGGTGATGCACACAGAACAGTAAAAGCAACTCCCAACCATAAAATAAAAATCAATAAAAACTCAATAAATTATATGCAAACATCATAAATAGATAACTACTGTATTTTTCACAGTATAAGATGCACTTCCCTCCCCAAAAATATGGGTGGTAATGTCTGCGTCTTATAGAGCAAATGTTGCCAAAGCCCCGCCCACCCAGAAGCCATTTTCGGCCTCGGTGTGCCCTATTTTTGGCCTCTGAATGACCTGTGTTTGACCTTCGTATGTCTTGTTTTTGGTCAATTCTGGCGATAGGCAGCAGTGGTAATAGGTGGAAGCGGTGATCCCCGCCGCCTGGAACAAGCCGAAAACAGGATGCATGGAGGCCGAAAATGAGGCGTATGGAGACAAAACATGACGTGAAGAGGCCAAAAATGCGGCCTGTAGAGGTAGAAAAGGGGCCACGTGGAGGTGGTGACAGGTGGCGACGGTGATGGGTGGCAGTGATCCCCACAGCCTGGAACAGCTGATTTGCGTTATTCTGGGAGGACGATCCAACCGACAATCAGTTGTTCGTGCTAAATCAGGCTGCGATAAAGTGCTGAAACTGACCAGGCTGTTTGATGTTTTCTGCAAGGATGCTAGTCAGATGAATACTGATGGATGCTGGGAGGCAGAGGCAGATTTTTTTTCTTGTTTTCCTCCCCAAAAACTAGGTGTGTCTTATAGTGCGGAGCATCTTCTAGTGTGAAAAATCCAGTATATTGATTAATAAGTACTACGTAAACGTGAAACAAATCATCATCTTTTAATGAGCCCGTAATCCCTGGTGGGGTGTAGTCTGGACAACTGAATGGAGCTGTTTACTGGCTTGTTGCCCTTCCTGTCACCAATGCGGAGTTATATTCAGTAGATACAATCTCAGAAATATCTGCCTTTACCTAGGATTGAACTCACAGCCTCCTGATTGTGAGGCAAGAGCTCCACCTCTAGGACACTGTACCACTCAAGTGAACATGAAACAAATGCACCTACAAATATACATATACTGTATGTATGTATGTATGTATGTATGTATGTATGTATGTATGTATGTATATATGTATGTATATGTATGTATATGTGTGTGTATGTGAGATATATATATATATATATATATATA